CTAGGTTCACAGAATCCGCATTGCTGTCAAATGGCCACCTAGCCTCTGTCTGAAAACCTCCAAAGGAGGAGAGCCCACCCCACCACCTCCCGAGGAAGCCCGTTCCACGGAGGAACCACTCTGACTCTCAGGAAGTTCTTCCTAACGTTTAGCCGAGAACTCTTCTGATTTGATTTCAACCTGTTGGTTGGTTCTGGTCTGACCTCCTGGGGCAACAGAAGACAACACTGCAGCATCCTCTATAATGACAGCCCTTCAAGGACTTGAAGATGGTTATCCTACCACCAGTTTGGTGTCGTGGTGAAGTGCACGGACTCTAATCTGGGGGAACCGGGTGTGATTCCCCACTCCTCCACTTGCAGCTGGCTGGACTTCTGATAAGAGCTGTTCTTGAAAAAGAGCAGTTTTCTGTCAAGAGCTCTCTCAGCCCCACCTCCCTCACAGGGTGTCTGTTGTGGGGAGGGGAAGGGAAAGGAGTTTGTAAGCCGCTCTGAGACTCCTTTGGGTAGTGAAGGGCGGGGTATAAATCCAATCTCTTCTTCTTAAGAGTGGGGGACCCTAATCCAGAGAACCGGGTTTGATTTCCCACGCCGTCACATGCAGCTGCTGGTGTGACTTTGGGTCAGTCACAAGTTCTTTCAGAGCTGTTCTCTAAAGGGCAGTTCTTGAAAGAGCTCTCTCAGCCCCACCTCCCTCACAGGGTGTTTGTTGTGGGGAGGGAAAGGGAGAGGAGTTTGTGAGCCGCTCTGAGACTCCTTCGGGTAGTGAAGGGCGGGGTATAAATCCAATCTCCTCTTCTTCTTCTTCTTCCAATCTCCTCCTCCTCCTCCTCCTCTTCTTCTTCTCTCAGCCATCTCCTCCCCAGGCTATACATGCGGATATCCGTCAGCCTTTCCTCATGGAAAGTTTGCTGGCCACCCTCGGGCCAGTCACACCCTCTTGGCCTAACCTACCTCACTTGGTTGTTTTGAGGGCCCTCAGAAATTATGAGAACCATTTTGGGTCCTCATTGGGGCAAAAGGTGTCATCTAAATGGAAATAAATAAGTAAAATAATTCCTCCTTGGCGACTGAAAGGGAAGAATGGGTATGAACACTAATGCACCCTTTTGAAATGTAAATTGCCTTGAAACATTTTCCCCCCAGTTGAAAAGCAGCTAATCCGTTTCTAAAAGAAATAAAATAATTAACAAAAAGACAGAGATGGTCGAGAGTCAAAGGTGGCCAGAGGATCGACAGTCCCTTTTTAGCTGTCTCTATTTCTCTCAGGCCGGGGGAGGGCTTTCGGAGTTTTCTCATCCTTCAGAATCTGGCTAACATTACAGGGTTACTTTTCACAATGGGCAGCCAAGGGCGTGCCATTGAGCACTGTGCTCCTAAGTAAATTTTGGCAACTGAGTCTTTCTGCTGTAGGGGACAAACACTTACCTTCCCGGGTATCTCCTGGTCCAGGAATGGCTCCATGGCCGTACGGGCACAGTTCCTGGAAAGCAACTATAGAAGGAAGAGGATGGAGGTGAGATGGTATTTGTCTACAGTTTTGCAGAATTCTGCTTTTCCATGAAAACTATTCTGAGCAGTTTAAATGAAGTGTGCTGCAGGCCCGTAGCTGGGCCAGGGCTTATGGTGGCTCTGCCCCCCTTCTTTCTTTCTTTCTTTCTTTTTTTCTCTGCCCCCTTTCTTAAAGGCACAGTCCCACAAGAATTTCTCCTGTAAATACTTTTTTCAATCCTTTAAGCAAGTGGGGTGCTTCAGTTGACTAATTCCCACACCGAGCAAGGGGGTTGGAGTAGGTGACCTCTAGGATCCCTTCTAACTCTGTGTCAAAAACTGGTCTCCTTTAAGAGAGTTTTTCTGCCTAACTGTTAGCTTTCTTGACTATAGAAGTCATCACTCCCCACCTGCCGGCTTGTTATCAGAATTGTTGCTTCGGCTGGCTGGCAGAAGTGATTAACTTGCAGCAGCTGAGATCTGTCATCTAAAGTGGTTGACAGCTTGCAATTTAGAGATCTATCCTGGTAACAGCTTTCTATTGGCTGAATGGCTTTTCTTTCTGCACTGAGAACTTCAACCCCACCAGAGAAAGATGTGCCCCACAAGCCACAAAATCCTGGCCACGGGTCTGGTGTGGTGTTGAACTGCAACTGACTCATGGCTGGACCGCTCACGGGGCTTTCAAGGGAAGAGAAGAGCAAAGGCGGTTTGCCATTGCCTTCCTCTGCAGACTCTCCTTCAGCGGTCTCCCGTCCAAATACTGACCCTGCTTAGCTTCTGAGATCTGACGAGACTGGGCTCTTCCGGGCTATTTGTGGTTCACAGTTTGAAAAATCTGTAACAAGCAGCCGACAGCACAACAATAATACACCCAGGGTGTGGGAAAATGTAAAAGGAAATCTAAGACCCTGCAGAGCAGGAATAGGCTGAGTGGACTGATGGTCCAGCTTAGTGTCATATGGGTCATTTCCTGCAGGAGCGCACAGGATCGGAGCTCCGGGAGTAAAGAGCCCGGGGGGAAGGCAACAAGTCCCACCCCCTGCTCCCAGCAGCCCTCAGTCAGAGCAAGAAGCAGCCAGGGAAGTTGCAGAAGAGATGATTATGCAGACAGGATTCAGTGTTGCAGGCTGTCTTGCTTTCAGAAAAGGGATGCAGCAAACGTCAGCGCAATACGCCTCCCAGGAGAACCAGAGAAGCCTTCTACAGATCCTCCTCCTCGGGTATTGCTAAGGGTTCTTCCTCTGGGCTGTCTCTAGAGAAGGCTGAGTTGTTCCCTGCCTCTTCCTCATCTGAGGAGGGGGGGGCTTCATTAGTCAATTAAATCATATACTTATAATATACAGTAAGGACCCTAGTGCAACCTATTAACTGATATAACAATGACATGAAGATATAGATTTCTTGTAGGAAAGTCCACCTCTGCAGAGATGATTATGCAGACAGGATTCAGTGTTGCAGGCTGTCTTGCTTTCAGAAAAGGGATGCAGCAAACGTCAATGCAATACGCCTCCCAGGAGAACCAGAGAAGCCTTCTACAGAATTTCTTCACTTGTGCATTGTAGCATTGTAAGCTTTGGTTCCAGGAGAAATAGACTGCCTGAAGAATAATTTCTCAAAACATGCAACTTTTGTCATATTCATTTCTATATCTTCATGTCATTATTATCAGTACTATAATTAATAGGTTGCTTTACTGTGCATTACATGATTTAATCGAATAATGAAGTTATAGCAGCATATCAGAACTGTCTGTTTTGTTTGAACACGGTGATTTCCCACGTTTACTCAACCTTGCCATGTTTCCCGTGTGTTTGTTGCCCACATAGGGCTGCTCTCACTGTCGCTGTGCTCGCCTAGACTCTCCTACCCCAAAATTCTGCCACTCAGAGCAAAATCAGTTCTGCAACGAGGCAGGCGACACACTGGCGAGGAGGAGATGGAAAACTGCTTCTGCCCCCACCTAATCCCTCCCTTGCAGGATGCAAACCAGCCAGCCAACAAATTCTGGCACAACCGGAAACAATGCATGCATTTTCAAACAGTTAAATGATCACTTGTGAATCTTTCCCCACTTCAGTAAAGGCGAGTCATCACTATTCAGACGTTTCGAACTTTAAACTAATATGAGACAATAAACTCCCCTGTTGGTCAACATTAGATGCGCCATAGCCCCTTGCGGCTAGAGATGGGTACCATCTCATCCATGTGCTTTCAAGTTCACCCTCTGCCTTCACCATCTCCCTCTCTGCTCCCCAGTGAAAAGGAAAAGACTGGTGAGGAGAAATATTGTCAGTATCACTGGAGAACAGGGAAGGGACAGCAAAAGAAAACTGACATCCTGTGAAACTGACAAGACATTCTCTTGGCCTGGTCAGTTTCACTGGCCAGTCCAGAAGTGTGGGGGGGGGCGGCTCCTCTGCATTCTCACTCTTGTGGCTTATGTTTCATTTTTTGCTTTTGCTATTGCTTCATTTTTTTTCTTTTTCACGTGTGTTTTGCTCCCTCTTGCTGCATGTCTGGCATATTTCCTTGCAGATTTAAACCACAGGTTTTTATGCTGGATAAAACAGTGATATAATATCGAATTATGTGCAGAAAAGACCCCCCCCCACAGTTATGGAAAAAAAACCCCCCCCCCCCAAAGAAAAAGAAAAAGGAAAGCCACAAAAATGAGAATGCGGAAAAGCCCTGTGAAGGCAGCATGGAAACTTAAAATAAACTTCTCATTATCTTGTCAGTTTCACTAGAAAGCAAGAAAAGGGCACTACAAGAGAACTCTGCCCTGGTGAAACTGACTGGGTTTCCCCACCACATTTTGGTACAATGGTTAACAGACGAACAAACCCATATACATCTCTATGCGGGGAAATGCTAGCTGCAAGTGTAAAAATGCTCTTTGGACAGAGCATATCTTAAAAATGAAGAGGTGGATGGTTGAAATGAACGTTTCCTGCATGGACATCAGATGGTTTCAAAAAGAAACATGGATGTATTTAAAACTGAATTTGTACCTTTTACACGGGCAAGGCAATAAGGCCTATGAAGCACTTTAAGGAGAGGCATGTGAAAGACGCTCAGCCAGACACCTACCATTGCCCTCCTGTGGGCACAGCTCGCAGGGGTCACCCCAGCCTTCCCCGGGCATTTTGCTGCAACAGCATCGGGCTTTGGTAGTGTTGAAGGCCTTGGGGACGGAGCACTTCCCAGCGTCAAAGCGAGTGAAGCAGAAGCTTTGGCGTGTGTCTGCGGAGTAGGGAGGGAAAAGAGGAATCAGGGCATTGGCAGGTGGAACTTGCAAGATCCTGACACAGGTGGGATGTCGTGGTGGCCACAGGAAGAAACAGCTTGTAAAGGGGATTAGATAGATCCACGGAGGATAAACCTTATCAATAGCTACCAGCCATGGAGACTGAGGGGAACCTCCACATGCAGAGGCACTAAGCCTCTGAATCCCAGAGCCAGGAGGCAACCTCAGGGGAAGGCCTCAGTCTATATGCCCTGTTGTTGGCCACTGTGTGAGACGGGATGCTGGACTAGATGGGAACATTGGTCTGATCCAGCAGGACTTTTCTTATGTTCTTAAAATTTTTTCATGGGGGGTAGAAAGATGGAAGAATTTATAACTTTCAGTTTAAAAATAAGATGACGGGGGGGGGATGAGAAGGATTTATATTTGGTGTAGTGGTTAAGTGCGCAGACTCTAATCTGGGAGAACCGGGTTTGATTCCCCACTCCGCTCCACGTGCAGCTGCTGGATGACCTTGGGCAAGCCATAGTTTTGTTAGAGCTGTTTTCTCACGGACAGTTCTCTCAGAGCTCTCAGCCCCGCCTCCCTCCCAGGGTGTCTGTTGTGGGGAGGGGAAGGGAAAGGAGTTTGTAAGCCGCTCTGAGACTCCTTTGGGTAGTGAAGGGCGGGGTATAAATCCAATCTCTTCTTCTTCTATATTAATATGGTTTCAGAGGGGAGCCATGTTGGTCAGCACAGCAGTAGAACCGTTCTGGTAGCACTTTAGATTCCGCAAGATTTTCAGGAAGCTTTTAAGAATCCCTGCGCTGATGAAGGGAGCACTGGCAGCTCAGACCCCCAAAATCTTGGTCTCTGAGTTGTTACTAGACTTGAATCTAGCTGTTATATTATTATGGCCATGGTAGAAAAAGCAGACTGAGGCCCTGGCCACACGGGCCGGATAACGTGTGTGTGGGGGGGCTATTTGCGCTGTCGCAGTTTGATCTGCGATTATGCAATCAGACGCAACGTGGTGCAGTGGAGTTTCGTCAGTCAGTGCCCGTGGCAAACACGACAGCTGGAGGGAATAGCCGCATGCTGGTGCGATCACACCAACCGAGGCCGTCAGCAGCCCGTGGCAAACTGGTTGCTAGTACTTGTTTGCAGGTACTTTTTAACTGTGGGTTTTCGGCCAGATGTGGCGGTGTGATCGCGCACGGATAATCTGCCCGGCATCCATGGCTCTCCCGCGGCAAATTCGCTGTGTGAACAGGGCCAGAGAACTTTTTCTCCCTCGCCCTTATCCGGAAAGTGGTAGGCTGTAGATTCAGGACAACCAAAAGGAAGCCCTTCTTCATACAATGCGTAATTAACTTATGGAACTCACTGCCACAAAAAGTGACGATGACTATTCGTTTATACAGTTTTAGAACAAGAATAAACAAAGTCATGGTCTCTCAGTGGCTGTTGGTGATGTTTGCTAAATGGAGCCTCTCTGTGCCGACGCAGTCTGTCTCTGAATACCAGCGGCTGAAGACCGATAGAAGGCAAAAGCGGTTGCTTTCCTACCCTGCTCCTGGGCTTTCCAGAGGCATCAAGCTGTCCTCTGTTGGAAACAGAATACTGGAGCAGATGGACCTTCAGTCTGATCTAGTGGAGCCCTTCTTATGAGCACAGACCCCAGGAAAAGAAAGGGCTTTAAGCCTTTAATTGACCAATCATCCCCTTATACTCCAGAAACCCTAGCTCTTTGGCTTAGTGAGAAGGACACTAAATTTACCTTAGCAATTGCAAACTATGCCACAGTCCCTTTAGCCCTTGCATCCAAAAAACAAGGAATGGCCCTGGTCACACGGATGATTTGCACGAATGTCAGGTGGATTTTCGGGGCGCAATCACACCGCAACATCTGGGAAGCGTAGTGAACCCGTGGTGTCCCGCCGAAGATGCGCAGTAAAAAAGTACTGCGGAAAGTGCACTAGTATCCGGAAAACACGGGGCAGGGGCAGGCGTCTGATCGTGGGAGCGCTAGTATCCCATGGCATCCAGCGCCCGTCCAGGTCTCGTTGCAAACCGGATGTTTTTCGTAAGCACATGCGCACAAACACGTAACTGAAAGCAGTGCTGCTCTGCGGAACTGCGCATGTGCACAAATGCAAAACGCTTGCCACGCCGCTTTTTTGCCACGCTCCAGCATCGCCATGTAATCGCCACCTAACACCCTAAACGCAGAGACTCGGGGGACTGTGTGATCGGGCTACCGTGCTTTATTTTGCTCTGGGGCGAACAGCCATGCCTCCCCCCGTGTTATCTGGCCCATGTGACCGGGGCCAATAAGTATTTTCCAATGAGCTTCTAAGGGAAGAAAAGGAAAAGGAAAGAAAGGGCTTTGTGGGAATGGAATTAACGCGACTATTTCACTTAACTAGTTACTATTTCAAGGCCCACAGCCCTCTTATACCGGGCCTCCTGCCTGTACTCACTCTGTCCCAAGTGAGGGATCTTTCTCTCAGACTGGTCCCCTCAGTTTTACTCTGTGTGAGGCAAGACCACAGAAGAGAAAAGAACCCAGTTTCATGGCCCACAAAGCTTAAGTCCCAATCACCTCACACAATCCCTGTACACCGATTGGCTACAACTATCACTAAGGATTGTGGGGATTGTAGGCTGTCTGCTTTCCACTCCCATACAGGTCTCGAGAGGCCTAGACCTCTATGCTTGTCTCCCAGGCCTACACAGGTCATGACAGAAGGCCAAAGAACTGCAAGACAAGAGAGTCTGAGGGAGCAGCAGGCCGCATGAGAAAATCAAGAAAAAAGTAGATGGGGCCTAGAGGAGACCTGGCTCGGCCACAGCAGAATGAGGCTCAGACCACCTGTTATCAGGCCGCCGCTGCTGTTCGACATGCTCCATTGCCAAGTTGCCATCGTCCCTCTCCCCCAAGATGGGTAGTCCCCCTTGCTACAGGGCAGCACTTACCAAAGCAACGCCGACCGTTGTCAGACAACACGAAGCCCGGTGGGCAGATACACTGGAACGTTCCTGGCGTGTTGGTGCAGGTCCCAAAGAGGCAGATGTTGGGCTCCTCAGCACACTCGTTGATATCTGCAACCCGCCAGGGAAAGATGAGCCAGAGCTTCGGCACGGATGTTCCCCTCTCCCTCCCGTCCCAACCCAGGCCGGGGAAGGTTTTGTGGGCAAGGTCGTGGGGCACAGCATGAAACCCACAGCGTTTTCTGCCACGTGATGTGGCAAGAATCACTGTCACACATGGCTTTCAAAGGGATTCGACAGAATTCACGGGAGGGGAGGTCTATGGTACTCTGTCTACCCATGGTTGTTAGCCATGAGAATTGAATAGAACCTCCATGTTCAGAGGCTGTATACTGCTAAGTCACAGTTGCAACAACTGGGAGACACATGAGCCTCTGTATTCAGCTTGTTGGCTTCGCCAAGCTTCTGCGCTGCTCACAGGGTGGTGGGCTAGAAGGGTGCTTTGGTTTGATCCTGTTGGACTCTCCTTATCAAAAAGGGCTTCGTGAAATACACAAAGGATGTCTGCCAATGGCTATTTAGCTATTCTTGCACAATGGATGCTCCATGTGCAGGAGCAGTCTACCTGTGAACAGCAGCTGCTGGGGAGCATGCAACGGGAGAGGGCTATAGGCTTCATGTCATGGTTTGAGAGCCTCCCGTGGAAGCATCCAGATCTCCACTGTGGGGAACGAACATGCTCGATCGGACGAATTTTCGAGATATTCGTCTTGTGACTTACCAATGCAATTGTCATTCTGCACCTCATAGCCTGGGGGGCAGATGCAACGGAAGGAGCCTTCCAGGTTCTGGCAGGTGCCCGGAGAACATGTTCCTGGGAGGCTAACACATTCGTTGATATCTGCAAGGAGAAAACAAGAAGAGACAGGCACATTAGGCCTAATTGCTACAATGAAGGCAGGAGGTGTCAGAGAGGTTGGGATGGGGAGACGTTGCCCTCCAGTGGTTGCAGTGGGGCATCCCGGCTCCCAAGCAACTTCTTTCCCCTCCCCAAATCCGTGGTCTTTGCTTGGCCCCATTCCAGTCTAGATGAGGGTGAGACTCACAGGAAGGGAAACACGACTTCTTTCAGCTTCTCTTCCCTAGAAAACAAATTTCGAATCCAGTGGTGACTTTAAGACCAACAAAGTTTTATTCTGGGTGTATAAGCTTTCATGTGCATGCACACGTCTTCAGATACATTGAAATGGAAGTACCCGTCCACACATATAGATCGAGAGTGAGCAGCAAATTAGCATACAACATAATGAGGGCCCCATTCACATGGAGGATTTGCCGCGCTAAAGGCGTGAATGTCAGGTGGATTTTCGGGGCGCGATCACACTGCAACATCTGGGAAGCGTAGCACACCCGTGGCCAACCCGTGGCGTCCCGCCGAAGATGCGCAGGAAAAAACTACCTCGGAAAGTGCACTAGTATCCAAAAACGCGGGGCACGGGTGGGCGTCTGATTGTGGGAGCGCTAGTATCCCGTGGCATCCGGCGGGTGTCCACGTCCCGTCGCAAACCGGATGTTTTTCGTAAGTGCATGCACACAAACACATAACTGAAAGCAGTGCTGCTCCGTGGAACTGCACATGCGCACAAATGCGAAATGCTTGCCGCGCCGCTTCTTTGCCACGCTCCAGCATCACCGTGTGATCACCAGCTAACAGCCTAAGCACGGAGACTCAGGGGACCGTGTGATCAGGCTACAGCGCTTTATTTTGCTCCGGGACAAACAGCCATGCCCCCCCCCGCGTTATCTGGCCCGTGTGACCGGGGCTGAAGATGTTTTAACAGATGCAAAGACCAAACAGGAATAGCAAGCTTAGTTTATATGGTCACCATTTGTTTGGATTTAACCTCCATGCTTGGTAACCTCCATGCTTGAGAGGAGGCAGATGGAGCGTAACAACAGGGTCTCAGTTAATTGCTCTCAGCATTCCACAATTAAGAAGGATACATTTACACATCAATCTCCAATTTTGACATATTTATTGGCTTCACTATGGGGGGGGGGGGAAGCAAGGCTATTTCCTCCGGAGGAATTTGACCCACAGTTGCACGATCACACCGCCCTTTGAAGCTGTGGGCGCAGTCCATCAGTGTGTGATCAGATGCAACTGCATGTGAGTCTTTTTTGTGTGTGCACTTCCCCCCCATGCACTTAAACGAGGGATCGATGAATTGCACCTCCACACCGAGGGCTCCCTAAGGAGTTGCGACGATGTGCATATTGTGAAGGAGGAAAAACAATGGCACGGAGTTGGGATGGCCTGATCAGACCATCCTGACGCCATGAGAGCGCGCTGGAGCACGGGAAAGTCTGTCTGCGGCCCGTCGCAACCCGTTTACTACCGGATTTCCACAGTGCCTTTTAACTCTGCTTCTCTGGCAGAGCAGAACGGGTTGCCAAAGGCTGCGGGGGCGTTTTCCAGATGTTGTTGTCCCTTTAAATCCGATCGGCATTCGCACCTATGCCGGGTCTAATCGTGCGTATGATCGCAGCCTGTTTCCCTCCCAAAATTAAATCCAAACAAATGATGACCATATAAACGAACCTTGTTGTTCCAGTTTGGTCCTTGCATCTGTTAAAACATCTTCATTATGCTGTATACTAATTTGCTGCTCACCTTCTATCTATATGTATGGACTGATAACTTCCAATTCATTGTATCTGAAGAAGTGTGCTTGCACACAAAAGTTTATATTGTGAATCAAACTTTTGCTGGTCTTAGGAGGTGCCACTAGACTTGAAATTTGTTCTGTTGCTTCAGACCAACATGGCTACCCACCTGAATCTCTCTTCCCTATGTAACGGTCTGTTTTATTTATTTAAAACATTTTTAGCTGCCGTCCTTCTTGACGGAAATCAAAGCAGCTTACAATATAGATAAAATACATAAAATATATAACACTCAATCCCCCCCCCCCCGAAATTAAAATCACACTTTAGGACTGCTAATAAATTAATCCAATGCGACCTTCCAATCCAATAAAACCGTCTTCAGCTGCCTCCGATAGATTGAAAGAGAAGGGGCCGGGCACACCTCTCTTGGGAGGTCAATCCATATCTGTGGGGCTGCTGCTGAAAAGGCCGTCTCTTGTGTACCCACCAAATGAGCTTCTTTGATGGATGAGACACTCAAGGCCCCCCCCCTCCCTGCGACCTTCATTCTCCACTCTGTAGGGCATTATCAAGGTTTTGTAAGGCAGCGTTGCCATAGAGGTTCAATCATACAGTTTTGGTCATTTGAAAATTTAGGCGAAATTGGGACAACTGCACAATCATCACCCTGTCCCCTAATCATCACCCTGTCCCCTTGAGTCAGGACTGATATACTCTGACCTAGGGTTGCCGTCCCCCCGGTTGGGGCACGGGATCCCCTGATTCTGGGGGGCTCCAATCCGCTGTCAGCCAGCTGGCCGGCAGGGGAAGCCCCACCTCCAAATAGCAGCATCCCACGGGGATGCCGCTGACACGACGACATCACCAGTAGTGACATCATCATACTGGGGCATCATAAGAACATAAGAGACGCCAATGTTGGATCAGGCCAAAGGCCCATCCAGTCCAACACTCTGTGTCACACAGTGGCCAGAAATACCAGGGGCCATCAGGAGGTCCACCAGTGGGGCCAGGACATTAGAAGCCCTCCCACTGTTGACCCCCCCCCCAAGCACCAAGAATACAGAGCATCAGTTGCCCCAGAGCCCCTATCTATACCTTGTGGCTAATAGCCACGGATGGACCTCTGCTCCATATGCTTATCTAGTTCCCTTTTGAAGCCG